TTTTTCTTCTTCTTCTTCTTCTTCTTCTTCTTCCGAGCTTGCCAATCTGCCGAACGGAGAAGGGTTGCCGATCGTCACTGTCATCCTCTTCCTTTCGTTTCATCGCCAACCAATTGTTCCTTCCTGCAATCTAAAACGAACGAGCATTCTACGTTTCAACACTGTTTGACGATTACGTATAAAATTCATTATTGAAGGCTAATTCTATATTTTTCTCTTATATGTATATGTTTTTTTTTTTTTACGTTTAATAGTATCATGCTTTATTATGTTTAAAAGTATATTATTTAAAATTTATATTATTTTTTTATTATGTTTAAAAATATTATATTATGTTATTATAAAAGTATTATATTATGTTAAAAAATATATATATATATTTTTTTTATTATGTTTAATTTGCTTCATTCGTATTTTTATTTCGTTACATTATTACTTTATTTATTTACTCATTTACCATTTTTGAAAATAATTAAATAAGATTAAATAAGATATTTTTATTAATATCTTAATTAAGAATAATTAAATAAGATCTTTCTTCTATTTTTAGTTTTTGGGTCGGATCATCGACAAAATTTACATTCGTACTTCATATTCTGTTGTATCATTATTTTCATCCATTTATTTACCATTTCGAAAATAATCAGATCTTTCTTTTTTTTCTAGTTTTTAGCTTGTCAGTTGTTGCGAGTCCGATCGACAAAAATTTGGATTCGTCTCGTCTTTTGTTATACTTTTAGGTTTATTTTATTTACATTTTCTTCTACATCGATATGACATTCGTCTGACATGATTTTGATAATTACGCAAACTCCATGATCTTTCTTATCGCGACTTGACAACGTCGTTCTTTGGCTTCGTATATTACATTTCTTATTCTATCAGCGGACGGTTAGAATCATTGTTGAATCATCTAGGTCCACGAATCTTGAGATCGCGTTTCAAGAACTTCTGACTAGCCACGCACATGTCTAACTAACACTTCTGACATTGATTTACGATATCGAAATAAACTCGGTGGTAATAATTAATGCATAAAGTAAATAATAAATAAAAGGTAGTTGTACATAATTTCTTGGGTGATGGATAATTGTTGCTGTTTCACATTAATATAAATACAGTCATCAACTATTCGATTAGCAATTACTTAAGTATGATAAACAATGGCACCGATTAATGTCCCTCTTAAACTATCCTATCATTCATTCCGCTTTTAACGCGACGTTTGTCAACTATGTATATCTCTTTGGATTGTTAGCCGTCTTCAATCGTATACGATTTACAAATAATAATACGTACAGATTACATGCAAGTTAGTTAAATAAAAGCGTACACACGATACATAGTGAATGTTAAAATGGCGGCCTTAAAGATCTAACGACATCGTGAGAAGTTTCACTATGTCGAATCAGTAATTAAAATAAATTAAATACACTTTGGTTGGGATATTTAATACAAGCCTCGTCGTTAGAAAATCTT